GGGGGGGGGGGGATTTGCCCAGAGCGCCGCAGTGCCTCTTGCTTCCATGTACCGTACACACCTGTCTCCTGCTTTGGAGGTCACCGTCGCAGCTGCGTGACGAAGAACGTACCTACAGCACACCCCCCGCGACTGATGACTGTCACTGCGCGGTGCATGGAAGGAGAAACTCGCTCGCACGACCGCGTGGAGGCTTGCCATCCCGCCCGCCCGCCCGCCCGTACATATGGCAAGCAGCGGGAACGCAGCATCAAGCAGCAAGCAGCGGCAAGGTGCTCCCGCATCAATCACAAATGTAGCTTTTAGACTCACTTGTGCCGCTTGTGCGAGCAGACTACTCACTGACTGCATGCTCCCCTCTAGCCTGCTGTGTGATTCCGAAACCTGGGTGCGGCCATCATCAAGACTCGCGGCGTGCATCTGCAGCTGCATCGGGGCAATCTGTGATGCCGGGACCATGAGGTTGGCCCTGCATCCATGCAGGCCTTGCTGCCGCCTTCGCTTTCGCTTTCAGCTAGCTGGCTACAACGACGATCGAATAGAGATGTCGCGACTGACGATTACTTCGTGAAGTGGTTGGTCTTCTTGATTGTTCGTGGCGGGACTGGTCCCAGTCAAGTCCGACCAAGCGGGAAGGCCATGCATAGGCGGGACGCCCTCTTTGACTCTCTTTCCCACCCAGACCTCCTTCTCACCCACACCTGATTTGGCGCGGTAGGTACAGTATGCCCCATCGCAGACAGACGGCTGCCGCCTTATCTATAAAATTTGTCCTCGAATCGCGGTGAGATCACGTCGCACGATGCATGAGCAGACTGGCCTATTCGTGCCTCGTCCTGTATACACAGCTTACAGCTGTTCATTCACATTCTTGTTCCTCCTTGGCTCACGGACGGTATTGATAAGTTCCACGCGTTGAAGCGACGGGGCAAACCCTGTGTCGCTCTGTCCTCAAACGCGCAGCTCAGCGCATGGCGCATACGATTTCCAATGGTCTAGGCAGGCTACTCGACGGACGGTGGTGCTTCGCACTTCACAAACCCTCGGGGGAAACATCTCCACGTTGCGTCTGCGAACGAATCAGTTGTCTCGAGTCGAGGGATGGTGACGAGGCACTTGATTCACGACCGCATTTATCTGCTGACCTGTACACGCACTCTTGACTGCACGCACACGCTGTATCGAGCGGTATGCACCGAGGTGCAGATCGAGAAAAATCGACCGCAAGCCTCTGTGATTGTAATAATAGCGCAGGCTGCACAAGGCGCGCTATAGTCCGCTTGGATGCTGCATGCTGCTTGCTGGCCCCTTCGTCTCGCATACATCTGCGCAACTTTCGACTCGAGATTTCCAGGCTAGCGTTACGAGCTAACGATGGCGTCACATCAGCAGCAGCAGCTGCAACGCCAAGGGGCTCTCGCGCGCGCCTCGCGATGAGACTTTGGCGCATGTCGCCCACGCCGCGATCGAGACGCCGTAAGCAAATCGAATCGTGGATAATCGCTTGAATCACATGAGCGCTGATTTCACACGGCGGCGGCGTATCGGCGCGCGGCTTGTGATGAGACTTCCGATACGGCCATGGTGGAATTTTGAGTCTGGCAACGATGAGCGATCCCGATTGGGGGATAGATCACCATGCAAACAGGCTTGTAGCTGAAAGCTTGAATCTGTTCCAGTTTCCACATTCATAATTGGACAATGAGCCATGAGACGACCCTCCTTTGGCGGGTTAATCGGCTCCTGAGGCCAGGCGTCTCGTTCAGCCAGCACGACCATGTGGTTCACGCATCGATTCAATTTTTAGTTGCCGTGCCTGCATGCTGACGCGTCATCCCTTCCCGATCGATCCAGGTGTATCATTCGCCGCTCTCTTCGCCAGACGGGCCATCATGCTGGCTTCACGGCATGAAGCCAAGCAAGCAATCTTGGACCTCCGGCGACTAGCAAGCTAAGAGTCGCACTCCGCGACCTCTCCTTTGTGACTCTGAATGCCTTGATTCACAAGCCCGATTGCGAGCCGGCAGGGCACAGCCTGAAATAGGACTTAGAAGGCCGTTAAATCTACGCGCGGGTGACAGCGTCTACTCGTGGTGGAAACGCACGTGGTGCAGGTCCGAGAACACCGCTGAAGCCTGAAGCGCGCCCGTCGCGACTCGGAGGTGCCAGAGGTCAGGTGTCCCAAGTCACACTCGTGACTTGGGAAGGGTTCGCAATTAAAATGTTTCTTGCTGCCACTTATTGCCTGTCTTTTTCATTTCGCATTCGGTATTCGACAATGTCAAGGCGTACCAATCATAATTTGATTGGACTTCTTGTGTGCCGTGGTGAAGGCCTAGGGAAAATCACGAATCACGAATGATGAACGCACTCGCAAAAGCGGGTCGCACCAATCACCAACCTCGTCGGCAAAGGCTGCCCTAAGCGTCACCAGACTTACGTCCATCTCCAACTCCTGCCCTTTGCCTGATCTTGATTAGGAAAGCATGTGCCGAGCATGTGCTTACCCCAGCACCACGGCTGCTGAGCGCTGCGAGCATCGTCCCTCTCACGAAATGCCCCGCGCGCTATGATGATCCACGATTTGACGTGAAGCTAGAGACGCGCACAGTGCAGCTTCACGTGGAGATGGCAGAATCGCGAGGCAGAAGAAAGTAGAACGTCTGCTGACTTTTTCGAGGTCTTGACAAAGTTTGCTGCCAGGACAAATGTTTGAAGCGTGGGAAAGTCGCAGTTGGCCGGAATTGCGCTTCTGTGCCAACGCTCTCGAGCTTGCGCTCGTATGTCAAAAGTCCGCAGCCGCGCCAATTCACCCACCAGTCGAAGTTCCCGCTCTGTTCTGGCTTCGCCGGGTCTTGAAGAATCAGGATTCAAAAGTTGCTTTGGTGCCCTCTGGATGCCTTTAGACCACGGAAGCTTCACGGCTATGAGGCTGTCGATCACAGAATTAATTGATATTCACATTGGTTCGAGAATCGACGGTTGTGCGCCGAGCATCGTTCTTTGACCTCCAGTGATGAGTCACGGTTGAGTGTAAAGAGTGCTGTGATCCCTCGCTGTGTCGATGCACGACGAGAGGCTGTTAAACACGGCTTTGACCCGTGACTACTCACACTAACTCGTGATTCGTGATGACTATACGTACTCTGCAGGTGGGCCCTTCAGCTGCAGCCTATATAGCGCCATGCACCGCTAGCGCAGGTTTCACCAGCACTCCAGGCTGCATGCCGCGACCTGCACTTCGACTCAAGACTGCGATGGCCTGCTTCACCGCGCGGAGGGGCACGGCAGCAAATTGGGAGCATCAGCGGACGGATGCAGCGCACGTCCGCTCCGCTCTCCATGGGGCGTACAGCCCTTTTGAATTCTGACCCCGAATATACGTTGTCAGACAAGCGACTGCGTGGCGAGTGCGGGGAAGTCGCAGCGCGGGCTTAGGCGTGGTCATCAAAAAGTCCTTAAAAGTGGATAGCATAGATGGTGCCCTGATGCGCTTTGCGGCTCCCTGACCGTCATCGTCTTCGGGAAGAGCATAGTCGAGTCTCGCCGCGAGCAACTGGGTGAGCAAGTTGGGACCAGCAATGTGTATTCATGAGTGCGTGTCAGGCCTTGCCTCTTGCTACTCTCCCGTCCCGCTGCGCCACTGCCTACTCCGCAGCGCTCGCTCAGACACTACTACATACAATTTGCACCTGACCAAAATTCGCGGGTCGTGACATGCACCCGCGTTCAGAGCAAGGCACCAGCCCGATACTGTGTGACTGTAGCATTCATGGACATATACACCTCATCATTCGAGAAATGCTCGCTTATCTGCTGTACTTTTCTCCTCGTTGACCGCGAGCCTTCCTTCACGGCAGAGAGCGGAAGCAAGTTCCGTCAAATAAATGCGAACCAAAACCCGTGATGGCGTTTGAAGCGGCGAGTCGGTGCAGCCAGCATGCAGCTGCATCAGCTGTGTTATTATTCCTTCTCCGCACGTCCACAGCCAGTAGGCAAGTCTCTTGCCGCTGCACGCCCTCTGCAACTGCAGTTCTGATTTCCAATTTAAGCGCTTAGCCACACTTGTCTCCGCAAGTGCTCGTGATAGTCGAGAGTGAGGAATCTTTTGACAGGTGTCAAAGGGTGAGGGACACTTTGTGAGCCAAGACATGTGGGGCAGCAGAGGATGGCATGATTGGTGTCTTACCATTCGTGATTTTGATCCACACTTCACACCGTCTCGACAGCCTTCAGAATCTTCCTTCTCATATGCACTTTTCATCAACATCCTCGAGGGTCTCGCGCTCGTGTCCGACCTTGGCAGTTGCTCAATCGGCCGCCTCGCTAAGCTAGCATGAGTTGGTGAGGCCGAGAGACACATCTCACCATCGAGCATTCGCGCGAGGCGCCAAGCCAAAGAGTGACACATCTACGCTGCACTTTGAAGCGGGCACCATGACCTCTTTCATGAACGACGACACCCCCACTGCCCCTTCCCAACCAAGATTCAAAGCCGCGCGTAGCCAAGCAGGCCCTTCGGATGCTGACGCTCGACAGCCACAAGCAAGGGAGACGAACCAATTCGCGCTAAGCCCATCTCAGACATCCCAGACTGCGAAGGGCTTGGGGCTCAGTTTCGGTTTGCCGAGTTACTCTGCAAGCGCCGTGAGCCACTCACCGTCCATCCGAGATGATGAAGACCATTCTGGACCAACGGCCTTGAGGAGCTCTGCAGATCAGCGTTCTGATTCGGGTGGCAGCGCCGCGCAGAACTATCCGGCTCTTAGGGAAGGGGCCAGATCTCCAACATCATTTCCCTACTACGACGCAAAGCGTCGACCGACTCTCTCGCACAGTAGTAGTACTAGATCTGGAGCAGGAAAGACAAGGAGCAATTCTAGGCCATCCATCTCAAGCCGGCGTGGCGCCAGATCGCCCGGCTGGGAGTCTGACATTGGCCCGCAGCTCGACTTGGCTTTGAGCTTCGTGAGCGGGGCACCACGAACGCACGGCACGAACGCGTCCATCACGTCTCCGTCTAGTCAGAAATTTGCCATGTCACCTCTGGCTCGAAGCGAAGGTGATCTCAGCCGCGGTAATTCGTCACTCAAAATTAGGGCTGCAGACGCCATCGAAGCTGCTCAAATAGAGGTCATCGATGCACTGGCAGCCATGGGGCGTGTAGTTTCCTCGTCCTCTAGAGGCGAGAGCAGAAGCAGCGACCGTGATGGGCCGCCTTCCGCCAACGCGGACACTGAGATGGTGATGAGCTCGCTGCGCTCGCTTGCTGGTCTGACCCTTGGACAAGGTTCCAGGTCTAAAAGTTCGAACAGCGTTGCAAGCATGGAAAGTTCTGGGAGTGGAGGCAGTGCTGGAAGCGCCAGCATCATCACCTGGGGAGACGCCCTACAGCACTCACAGTCAAGTCGAGCAATCGTGCGGAAGAGGAGCTTTGCAGAAGACTTGGTTAGCTCTGACGCGCAGCACATGGCACACTATCGAACATCCGAAGCAGCTCGAGCACAAGCCTCCACCCCTTCGACAGGTAGACGCTCTGCAACTCCGGCGAGTGGTCTTCTGACCAGCGCGAGCACCCCAGAAGGCGCTCTGGGCCGCATCTCGTTGCCTGATGTGGGTCCAAGCGCAGCCATAGACACTACAGATGAATTTGTCGGATCCCATTCGGAGCTCGCAGCGCACTCGGCAGCCCTAGACGTGCGCCGAGACAGCGCGAAAAGCGAGGAGGAGCAGGAAATCTTGCTGTCGCAGATAGGTCACGATCCTCCGGGGCACTCTACTCGCTGTTCTGGGGAGATCGATAGGACTGCGCACGAACTTCCAAGCCTGGAACGAGCGCGTCAGCGGCGCGAGATGGATGCTACAGAAAGAGCGAAGCAGCAGGCAGCTGTGCGCCAAAATGAAGCCCAAATGGCCGCCTTGAAAGCTGGGCTGCGCTACGTGATTGAAGTACAGGACGACTCTGTAAGTCAGCTCGTCTCGCGCTCGAGTCGCGCGCCATCCTCACTTGGGTCGTTCTAACAAGGCTCTGGCTACTTCCACTCCTTCCAGAATCGACGAAGAATCGCTGCGGAGGATGCATTGGCGAGCGTGATCGCGAAAGCTGCTTCTTCTCCACCCTCAGAGGAGACCCGGCTTCCGAGTGGTTCCGGACCCTCTTTGAGCAAATCTACAGACACTCTGCCGTGGCTGACTTCCACGGTCTCGGTGGCGAGCAAATCATCTGACAGCGCTGCGCCCCAACCGCAAGGCCGCTCAAGAAGTCGGTCTATTCTGAAGACAATTGCATCAAAAATGCCGCTCAGTCTGCAAGGAGGCTCCAGTGCGCAAGCTTACGTGGCAGAGGAGAGCTCTGCACAGCTCGCATCCGGTCTCTGCGGCCCTTCGAACAGGCTCAGCGTCCTTCCTGGCGGCACATTTTCCCTACAAGCGAATAAACATCAGGGGCAGGCAGAGATAGCCGCTGCGCTCAGTCGCTACACCGATTCTCAGGGATCTTACTCGCGAAAAGGGGCAAAAAGCTCTGCGTCAACCAGCATCCAGAAAGCAGAGTCTATCCGACCTCTATCCGTCTCCCAGCCGTGGACTGCAGGCTGGGACGTCATGAGCTATGACTCTGGCAAGACTGCAGGATCGATTGATCTCTCCGCACGCACGGCCATCTATCCGGACTCGCATGCTTCGGCCCGCGGATCTGGCCAAGTGATTCCTTCGATAGCTGGCAACGAAGACGTGACATCTTTGCGTGTTGCGCTGTCGCAATCACGCCTGGCCTTGGCGAACTTAGAGCAAGAGAGACGCAGACAGGACGAAGAAACAGAGGAGCTAACTAACCGGGTATTTATTGAAGCTCAAGATATGGTTAGGACAGAGCGTGTACGCGCGAACGCTCTCCAGCGCGAGGTCGTCAGTCTGCGGGCTCAGCTCACAAAGAAGACACTCAAGGGGGCAGGGGGCGCAGCGATCGAGGCTGGTGCGTCGGATGACAGTGAAGCGGACATGATGGCGGCAGTCAAGGAAGCGGCTTTGGCATGTGCCGAAGCTGAGCAGGACGCGGCGACCCTTCGGGATGAGATGGAAGCAATGAGCTCCAGATGTCAAGTCCTCGAAGAAGCACTGTACCACGCCGTAGCTGCGGTAGCGCAGACTCGTCTGCAAGAAGCGGATGGTGCGCTCAAAGACGACTTTGACACTGTGGCTGCACAGCTCTGGGCCGCTGCGGAACAGTCGTCCAGCGCAGACACAGCGGTGGGAACTCTCCCCACTGTCGCGATCGGCAGCCCCGCTTCTCATGATGGTCATCATCGCGTCGATCTCATCGCGCAGGAGCCGAGCACGGCTTCTTCGGGGCAATCTGCTTCCATTTCTGGTGCCGATGTTCGACAGCCTGAAGCGCTTTCAGATTCAGGCCCTGACATGCCAGGCTCTCTGCTTGGCACACAACACTCCGAGACACGCTCGCCCAACGGCTTACGAGATTCAACTGCGCCATACCACCGTAAGAGCAGCCTCGACGTTCCTGGTCGGCATTCTACGGAGAGCGTGTCTTCTTTCTACAGTGCGGTAGCTGGCAAAACCCCTGCACCGGGCAGTGCAGCCAGCAGTGACGAAGACGATGGTGAAGTCGTAGAGACGTTGGACCAAAGCGACGTGCCTGCCTTTGACCACTATCCTCTGCGTGGAGCTGCGCCCTATTTGGACTCACCCGTCTCGCCGCCATTCGCTGGCAAGGCCTTGACTTCTCGGACAAGCTGTGATAACACAAATGTGGCACCAGATCAGCTGCTTTGCACATCAGTGCCGCAGGCGGCTGAGCCCCATGAGAAAAGCTCTGTGAAGGAGGCAGCCGCTGCGAGGCCGCGAGCCACCCCTTTGAAGTCTTTGGTGCTTGAGCGCCCAGCATCCTTGGGCATCGAGATTGGTCGCAGACTCGAGCGCAATGCTTCTCTCACATCTCCAGGATTGGATCGCTTGCCGCGCTCATCGCTAGGTTCGCCGTTGATTGGTTCTGGCTCTCCGCGAGGTCTGCCACCTCGCCCGCCGGAACCAAGCTCCCCCCTCCCAGCACCGCCTCAAGATCAGCCAGCACCTCACAGAGGAGGCGCTCCCTCTGACTTTGCAACACCGTTGCGACAAGCTTCGAACTCTGAGAGCGGACAGCTGTGGCGTTTCTCTGACTTATCGCTGCTCCATGCTGCCTCAGAAGACAGCCCATCACTTCGGGAGCCTCCGCCAAGTTTCACCACTAGGTCAAGCACCGCTGCGTCGAAACTAACCACGCCCGAAGTGCAGCAACTTGAGCATTCTCGCGTGGCAACAAGGACCGCCGTTCTACGAGGCAATCAGGCTCAAGATACCAACGCCGACGAGCCCAGACAGGATCCCGGGACGCGAGCTGGCGCTGCCCCAATCTCCATAGCTTCACCAGCTTCGTCGGCGCTGAGCAGAGAAGATCTGTCTAGCCCACACCTTGACCCTCTCCACCGTCTCTCAACACGTTCGAGCACAGAGGATGACAACGACTCTGCCTTTGACGATACCCAGACGAAGGTCATGTCGGAGTCCACCACTTCGTCTTCGACCCGCGGTCAACCGCGTGCACACGCGTTTCCCCGCGTGGAGTCGATCGAAACTTCTTCGCCTCCAGAAGACTTCGGTGCAGCAGAGCGAGCCTCGCCGGAACGACTCAAGAAGTCTGCCGGACCGTCGCCAGTGCGGCAGCTCCCCTCTATTCCTGCACCGTCCACACGCAATACCAAGAGTCCCACGCTGACAAGCAAGAGCAGTGTACGAAGCCTAGCGTCGACTGACACTAGCGCAGCTAAAGGTGGGAGGAAACATGCCGTGAGAGGGTCTGCAAATTTGTTGCATAGCGCGAGGGGACGCCGACCTAGGTACAACAGCCGTGGAAGCTCGTCCGCAAGCTTGAGTAGAAATCGAGGCACCTCGATCAGCTCGTCAAACGTGGCCTACCACAGCGATATCAAGCCAGCGCGTCCTTCGGGCCTCGTGGAATCCTCATCTGCGAGTTCCATCTTGAATTCGGCTGCGCGATGGACTGCAGACGCTGCAAAGACCTTGCCGCCGACAAGAAGGGTCGCAGGCAGCTCCCTCTACTCGGTGAGCTCCTCGGGCTCCCGTCAAAGTTCCGTCTTGCCTTCCATCGGTCCCGCCTCCCACACGTCCCACGGCACTTCGCAAGACCCAGAAACCAACTCGATCTCGTCCGGAAGCGCGGGGCACCAACGTTCTGAAGGCCAGCACAACACCAAGGATCTTCCCGCAGGCTTCAGTCGGCGCCGCAACTACGGCGCGCAAGTCAAGGACAGTGGTGTCCAAAGTGACTTCAAGTTTCAGCCGCCACGCATTCGCTGAGCGAGCATAGCGCATCTCATCCTCGACCCCGACGCTCGCTATGGCATCGCCAAGCGCTGAATGGACGTTCGTGACGACAGGAGAAGCCCGACAGACATCGCGCTGAGCGCCTTTCCGCCCCCCC